CGCGATGGGAGTGTCGAGAGTAATGCGGCCCTCGATGAGGTCGCTTTGTAACGAGAACAGGCCCGCAGATCTTAGCGCGTCGTTCAAGACGGTATCATCATACTGCTGGAAGGGATCCAGATTCTGACGTAGCGTCCCACTCAACAGCTCTGGCTGATGACGAAGTCAGATTACGCGAGTGAGACACCTGAATGGCACATACCACTTGCGGGATGATTGTGATAGTCGATCGGAGAGCGTCCAAGTTGATGTTATCCGTCGGTAGCCCGTCGTAATACACCTTGCCTTCGGTGATGATGCATCGTAGCAGTGCCAAAGTCAAAGAGCTCTGAGAGCGTAGCATCAGCAGTCGAACGCCTGATACTCATACCACGGGGCCTACCTTGCCACTACCAGTGCGGCCGACTGATGGTTATATGAGTGACGTATCCTTGCGCACTCTACTTGCACTCACCTATGCCAACTCGCTCCCCTGATCTCACCTCGAATGAAATCTCATGCAAGACGCGAGGTCCATCCTAGGCCAACTCAATACGCGCCCACCCGGGAAACCAACACAGGACACACCGGAGAGTATCGAGCGGAGAGCTTATCGACTACCAAGTCTCCGCTGGCTGGCCAATATGCGGGTGGAACACCTTCGGGTGTAGGTTTGGGCTCGTGCTCGATCTCAAGGTATTGCTTGATGCGCTCCAGGCTGTGGTCATGGTCAGAGGATTTCTGATCTCATCTTCAATCTCGCACCTGTTGCCTGGAAATATCGAGAATGATCAGAGACCGCGTTCAGTCAATAACTTGAGACATACCTGATATTTCCAATTCATTGAAGAACCTCACCCACCATAAAATCATGCTGCTGAACCCGACTGTGTAGACGTTAGCATAGAATGTGAGGACCAGCATGAATATCCCTGACCTGCCATGTTCAGGGAGAATCCAGTGTTGGATGCGGTGTTTGCCTTCCCGTATACCAAGTAGGCAGCTAAAGCCGCAGAGAAGAACGATCCGAGGGAAGTAATACGGATGCCCACCCAGCTATTGAAAACATCAGGGTGCCTGACTACATAAAGGTAGTGTTCAACGCACCGATTGAGGTTCCAGAATGTCCTTGAAGCCCGAGTATATCGATTGATACGCACATACGACTCTTTTTTGAACGCCTCCTGCGCACCATATGCACGGATAGAGGCTGTCTAGGCGATTAGTAATCTCCCTGCTTGATAGAACGACACATCGCGTACTGAGACCTGCAAAAGCGGCTCCGAAGTGGCCGAGAACTGGAGCCTTCGCATTGCTTCTTTCACGTTTGATCGCGAGTTGCGCCTTCATGTAGAACTCGCCAATCCAGGCACCGACGGCGGCAATGAAAACACCAGGGACGACGAAGATCGGGGATATCACCACCACCACACCAAGCTTCATGAGCATCTCCAACGACATCTCCACGATGGTACTGAACCATCTTGCCACGGAAGCGTCGACTGCGTCGTGTTGCTCAGTCTAAAACCCATCACATGCAGGAGAGAAACGTACCTTCTTGGATGTCCTGGGTACATCGAGCGATAATTCGAGATGTGGGTGTTTTGTCAAGCCATCTACAAAATTGTCATGACGCGTCACGGCAGTAAGTTCCACCTGCTTACCTCATTGTCGTCGCCAGAATTGAAGATATCAGGTCATCGTGTACGGTTCTTGATGCTCTCAGCGACCCAAATGTGTATACATAGTAGGCTGCCGTGTGGAAAAGGACTGATATGATCATGATCGACCCGTATCCCCCGAGGAAGCTGAAAGATGATGAGGCGGTGCAGCCTCAGATTATCTTTGAGAACATACTGTGGGACTTTGATTTCGGACGCAGGCATTTCTTCGTACTGTCGAGCCCAATATCCAAGGAACCAAGTTTGCAGGATGCTGAAAGTCATGTAAAAAACTAACCCTCCAAGGAAGCTCAGCCAAAAGAAGAGTTGATGGCTCCCTCCCAATGCATGCATAAAGAGTTTCACTGATACGCTGTCACTAACAGTTGATAAGAAGAGAATACTAAGACGTACTTGCTTGCCAACCGGCATGCCCGACTTCGACTTCTTCTTCAACAACAAGTTTGCCATCCTCCTTCGGGGCCTTTTCCGGGGTCTGCTCGTCAACGGTGGCTTCCGCTTTCTCGAGTTCCAGCTCCTCCTTAGCAAGTTCAGCGGCGAGTTTCTTGTCGTGTGCAAGAGCATTAGCAATGGAGCCTTGACTAGACACTCTACCATCTGTGCCCAGGGCAACAACAAAATCGGCGATGGGACTAGCCATAGAGACATTATGCGTCTATCGCTCATGGGATCAGAAGAGTCGAGAATCCAGAATGAATGTGTACTCACAACGAGTAGCACCGTTCGCCCACGGACAAGATCACCCTTGAAACATTTCTCGACGATCCATCGTGACGTGTGAACGTCTAACGCAGCGAGAACCTATCAAAAAGTTCAGTCTATGGAAAGGAAACGTTGATGCATGTCTTTCACATCGTCCAACAGCAGTATCTGCGACTTAGAGTATATGGCACGGGCGAGTGTTATGCGCGCCTTTTGCGTATGTGAGTATGGTATGAACGACCAAGCACAACACTGCATACCTTCTGACCGCCACTAGCATTCAAAGAGTCAGCGAATGTCGAGGGTCGCAATAACAGATGTGACAGTACCTCAGTGTGATGCCCCTTTCTCCAACCTCCGTCTGGTCACCAGCAGCGAACAACTCGAGATCGCGTTTCAGCGCACATTGCTCAATGACTACAGCGGTTAGTATACCATCGAGCGTGTACAGCATGCTGTCTCAACACACCCTTTGATAACGTTCCTCGTTCAATGGTGCGCCGAAGACAATATTGTCCTATTCAAAGCTAAGCAATACCATCGTCATTCTTGCGACGTGTCGCTTACCTTGATGGTTTCATTCTGAACCCAGGACTCTTGCGCGGCGTAAGCAATACCATCAGTCCGAGGTAGATTGTAGAACGAATCAGGACCGGCGGGTATGTAGTGCATCTCGCCCAGCAAAGCCATCAACAAGGAGGTCTTTCCCGAGCCAGTCGGGCCAATCACGAGATTGATACTGCCTTTCCTGAACACCAGGTCGTCGTCGATACGCAAGGTAAAATTCCTTCGCCCGCTTCCAGGGGTTGAAGCCGCTAAGCCACTGACTTGATCCGCCCAGGTGAAGGAAGCATTGCGGAAACCAATGACGTCGTCTTCCGGCTGCGCTGCGATCTGAGTCTGGATATCATCAGGTTGCTCAGAGTATTTATCCAGTAGTTCGGTCTGTCGCGCAAGTTGTTTCTGTCAGTCACCGCTATGGAGTGGAGTAGAGAAGGCCAACCTTCTGCAAAAACTCATTCACTCGGTCCAGCGACACCTTAGCTGTGTTGCAGAATGTCAACAATCTGATGCCTCTCTATGGTTCATGGACTTACCTCGAATCATCATAGGCACGAAACCAAAGCCCATATGCATCAGCTGGCTGAAAGTATCGAACACTGCATACATGTCAGCATCGTGTGTTCCGTTGGGGTCGCCACACATACCCGTGATAGATGAGAAGACAGCAGACGCTGTGAGACGATGTGAGAGATGCGTGCACGGGGTTAGCAATTGCTTCACCTGTAAGATCTCGCTTCATGATCATGGTCTGGAAGCCAAAGTCAATTGATAGTGTCCATATCTCATATATTCCAACTGGACTCACGTATGTCGCGTAGGTCACGATCATGGTGACCAAAGGAATGGCGTGGCTTGAGACCAGTCAGACTAAGCTCGGAAGGTCGCAACACTCCGTGTACGCACTTTAGGTTATTGTTGATGAGGTCGAGCAACTTGCTTTTCTTCACGAGCTCCAGTTCGTCCTCACGTTTCTCAGCCAGTTGCTTCCCAACTCGGGGCTCCCAGCCAAACAATTTGATCATACGGATGACGTTCATGGCTTTACAGGAAAGGAATCAGCATGTGCACCAGAGTAGTGCGCTATAATGCTCACTTTCTGTCGCGCTCTGCACACGTGCATCGGTCTGGGGCGGAGCGTGTCAGTCACGCGCAGGCACGAGCGAGAAGGAATGAGTGATACCTTCTTCATCTTCACTATCTGGACCTTGCGAATGCGTGTTGCAATCATACCGGGGACAGGGAACAAGAGGATGATGGAAGCAAGTCCCACAAACGCACTATGCGCCTAGTCAGTCTACTGTGTTTGCTCCTCATGACGTGTGGCCACTGACCTCCAGCCCAAGACGGCGTACAAGAACCATACGCAACAAAGAATTTCGACGGGAAGCTTGACCACTGCGACGCAATACAATTGTTGAGCAGCACAATAATCGGCATATGCCAAACACGCACGGAGGGTCAAGAACTCCCTACCCCAGGCGAGAGAGGTGAGGTCGGACGATATGAGGTTATTGATCTTCCCGACGACGTTCTTGCCCTTCTTGTCATCGTCTGCTGGCTTTGCCTTCTCCTCCCTCCCAACAACTCTGTTGGCGTCCGCATTCTGTGCAGCCACGGGAACCGTCTGTGTCGTGGATTTCTGCTTTCCCTTGCCCGCTGCGGAGTCGCCCTCGCTGTCGTTACCATTTTCCTGAGCTGTTGGAGCGGTAGCGCTCGATTCAGCGTCGGAAGCCGTATCGGGCGTGCCGGCAACGGTCGTGTCACCTTCACTTTCAGCAGGATCTTGCGATACGTCTGCCTTCATGCGCATGCGCAGAGCATGCTCAAAGACGACTTGTGTGATGATCGCCTCCACTTGAGTTAACACTCTGTTCTGCACATGTTACGATGAGCAGTGGTGAAGGAGCGAAAACGGTCGACGCACGGAGAGGTATATGTACACAGAGCCGAAGTTGTATTCGAGGATCGGTCCGAGAAGCAGCATCACGATCCAGAACCAGGGCCGGACGGTGGCGCCTACGCCGTCCGTCTCGACGTACCTGTGGACACGTCAATAGACTAGACACGAGAGTACAGATTGTTTAGCTTGCATCAGGATATATCGAATAGTCAGCGGGCCGATGAACTCTAAGATAGTCTGTCGAATGCAATGTAAGCCTGCTTGGGTGTGTTTATTCAAGGCAACTACAAACGCACGCCAAAAACGGTCGCGATGGTCATGACGATCCACTCCATTCCTGTTCGAGGTTCATCAGCATGCATGCGCGGAGATAAGATACGTTTAAACATACGGAAGACACGCAGGAGACCCCACATAAGATGTCTGCCCTTCGTCTTGACTCGGAACGGGTCGATTTCCTTCAAAGCTCGTCAGCAGACAGGTAATGAGTCTCAAGACGGTGGACACACATTCAGACTGCGCTTCATGAGATTTTGCGCGTCGTCAGAGGAGGCCAGAGGAGGCAGCATGTCAATGGTCAGGTGTTTGACGCGCGACGCAAGCATGACCGTCGGGTCAAGGTAGCTAAACAGCATGAGTGACAGGATAGAAGCCGTTTGCTCCTTGGGCTGGTTCGCCCATGGATTCTACACGCCCATTAGCTGTCTACTCTCTCGTCTAGTTCGCGTCGCATTACATTGACATACCTCTGGATCGAGAGAAATGTAGCGCCGAGGGATCATGAGGGGCACAAAGATACTACTAATGGTCAAGAGTGAGATCCTGGCCCAAAGTAGAGGGCCCTCTGCGAGATCCATGGGCTGTAACGTGAACGTCGCCAAGGGCCAGAGATCGCGGTACGCGTAGACCGACAACGCAGTGAACAGAATACAGTTCAGGTGGCGAACAGCTGTCGTACTTAGGACGGGACCAGCAAGCAGCGAGGTGATGCCAAGCGCTGATGCGTACACCTGGACAATACAGTTAGCATTGTCGTACGTATGAGAGCAAGGCGGACGGTCGCTCACGTAGGTAACAAAAGTGCCAACGTGGAAGATGATCTCGAAGCTCTGAGGCTCCCAGGTTTCAGAGTGGCCCAGGGACTCGGTCGCGCTGTAGATGGACATGCCCAGGAGCCCCAGGGTTGACGCGGCACGCAATCCATTGAACGCGACGAGGACGACGCCCCCGTGTTCCTTGACGTATTTTACCGATGCAGACGCGTTTTCACTCTCTTCTGGAGCATGGAGAGGCTCAGATATGGGCGAGGGTTCGGACTGAGCAAGCTTTGCGTACGCCTTTTGGGTACGAACATGCAATGCCAACTGTACCAGGAATACAAGGATCGACAGCGCAGCGACTCCAGCAGGGTAGAGTAGCGTAGATTCCGCGAAACTACGTTTGTTGTGAGCTTAGAATATGTTACGAGTGTGTAGGTTGAACATACTCGATTTCGCCTCGTGCCGCAGTCAGCATGGACAGACTGTGGTTGCGGGCCCTCTGCACGTGAGCGAAGACATACTGAGCAGGTCCTGGTATGCTTGGTATGCTCGTGGACCAGTAACTGAAGAGCTGATCTCTCCCCATGTCCATTTTGCCTGGAAGGCAAGACACTTGAAGGACGTGGTAGAGGAAGAAGTGACACAACCAACGATGACTGACCAAGGGTCTATGTACCGTTACAAGCGCGCGCAATTGTTCTAAGGTGTCACTGAGCATCTCGATCTGTCAAATGAAGACGCCTGTTAGTCTCGCGTGGACAGAGAAGACAATTCCTTCAACCTCCGCCGGCTCCGGATATCTTTGTCTAACACGCTTGCCGGCTTGTATGGCATGCAACGGAAACTACGTGGTTGTGAGATATGCACTCATCTCCATCAAGAACTTGCTCGTCGACACCGGTTACCTGGCTGCTATAGTCAAGACGAGCAGTGCACATCCTGGGCATGAGCGTAGGCAATCATATTGACCAACCTAGAGTTCAGGCCTCAGGCTCAATCTGCCCTGCGTGAGACAAGCTACGCTGAAGTGAAGCTGCCTCCGTGAGTGCTAGCAAGTAGCGCACGATTGGCGCTGCGATATAACCTGATGGAAGTCGGTGCGATTGGCATAAGCTGACAGAGCTGTAGCCTGTACGCAGATTGATTGTGCACACGGGTGCTTCTGTGCTCCCGGCGATGAGAATCAAGTGAATCCCCCCGGGAGGGCTCGTCATCGACGAGCCCTGTGCAGACCTTCTCGTGGTCCGGGGGGTAAGTAACCCTTCACGGGCGAAACGAACATGCACTTTAAGGTCGAACGCGGCTATTCAGCACGTTGGCCAGGATACTGCTGGAAAGCGTCATCCACAGGAGGAATGGACAATCCATCCCCTCCTGCCGTTCACTACAAGTGTTCGAATACTGCCCTATGGCGTAGAGGTTCTCTACGCTCGACACAGTCATCCTGGATACCCAAAAAACCACCTACGGACGGTAAACAGTAGCTTGCAGCCGTCTCACCCGATGTGCTCAGAACGCTTCCCGTCCACCTGGGCGCTAACCGCTCGGCACAGCGCCTATTTAAGATTCGAGCCACATGGCAAATAGTTACAAACACAAAGCCATAGGTGGCGGAGAATGCTGACACAAGCTGCCTAACAAGATAATGATCAGTTGGGACGCCCTCCAATACGCTCAATACCCCCACCTTCTAATACGTTCATATCATAATCCCCGCCCACACTTGTGCTTTGGTGATTGCGCGCTTCTGCTCTGAGCGTCTGCAGTAATACATAGTGCTTCTTGCCGTAAAGAACGCATCAACGCCCATCTGGAACCAATAATACTGCCAGGGTGAACGCCCAGCCATTCCTGTATAAAAAGAGGGACTGTCAGTCCTGACCGAACATCCCTCTCTCAGCAGGTATGGCACCCACCAGCGACAACGCATCCCAAAAACAAGTGCAGAGCCGCAGAATCAAGCAACGTCCCAGGACGACCAAACCATGGACCCCCACAGTCCTTAAGTTTGGGTCGCCCCTCTTGCCGCTGCCACCTCCTCCTCCCTCAATCATCCTCCCATCCCTACAATCCCCAATCAACCCGTCCAAAGCAACGACAATTGACGTGGAGAATCACCCTGAGAGGAGAGGGACGAGCTGGACATGGATCGTCCGGACACGCCCGGCGTGCCAAATCAGCAGAGGACTCCCAATCATCCTCACATCCGGCAATCTCCGGTCGGGCGTCGGACGAATCCGAGGAGTTGCTGAGTTCCGGCGCCACTGGATCACGTGGTCAATAGATGGCAGTCCCGATGATTGCGACGTCCGCGTACCGACCTCATGGTCTAGCCTCGACGACCGAGACCGTAATATCCACACCCGCTTATACCGGATTCTATCCCCGTCCCCACTTCCACACCCTCTCCTCATCAATGACTCGGTGCTCCTAGAGAGCCAGGAGACACCATACGAATTCGAATCAGACACAAGCGATGACGAGGACGGGTCATAAACGGAAACGCACCATCCAAGCCCCGTAGTGCGAGCCGAGAGATGTAGCCAAGTGGGACGAGAGGAACGGATCACAGATACAATTTCAAACTCTAATCTCCTTCTGGTATACGCCGTTGACCGATGATCACTGCCGATCGTTTGCCTAAATACGATCTCTCGTTATCCCGTACACAAACGCCCAGAATCAAAACCCACATGATGATTCTCCGCGGCCTCCGCTCCGTACCCACGCTCTACCTGTCAATAGCACTGCCCTACGCCACCACTAAATCCCCAACCATACGCGTCGGAATAGCACATCCTACAAATGACCCTGAAGCATCCCACGCAATAAGACTGTACGATGAATCTCCTAAACCGACCCAACCTCACAACAAGTGTACAGGCTGTATAACCTACCTGCACGAAGAACCTAAAGGAGGAAACTACCACCCCAGGAAAAATGGCATGCTCCCGGGTTCAACCCCCCGATCAATGAAGAAACCCTAAGCCCAGACACGCCGCCACCAGGTTAAGCGGCTTGACAGGGAAGCTATGCGCGCCGAAATACCACCGCCGCGCCACCCACCACCATTGCAAATTACGTGACCAAATTTGGCATATGTGCCTAATGACTAAGCAACCAGGATGCTCCTGCGTGAAGTTCTTCGAACGATCCCGGACTCTTTCTGCGCCGAACGCGAACCGCGCTTGACCAACAGACGCATCCGCACAATGAAGCTCGCAGTGAATGCACCTCAAAGTACCCCGGCGGACACGACAACCGGAGACCCGCCAAAAAACGAGTTGCAACCGCCCGGGACGCGCTGACTGGCCTTCATCCTCCCTCCTCCCTGAATTTTCACGCGACCGACCGCTATGGCCGCTCAATGACAACCGCATAATCATATCCAATAACTGAGACGTCCCGAATACGGCACGCACAGGATGACACGACAGCAACGTCGCGCCCGTACGTGGAGAAAGTGCAGAACCAATCACGGTAATCGCATCGACAGGCTTACTTAACTTCTCGCCATGAGGATAAAAGGAAGCTCAGGAGGCTGCGCTATTCACCACTCTAGAAAATACTCTCCTATAACGCTTTCTGCCCACAATGCAACAGTCCCGTCCCTCTACTCCCACCAAAAATGGGCCCTCCCTGCTTCCTCGTCTCGTCGGGTCCAGCCCGACGTTCGCGCGTTCGAAGTCTGGCGTCCGCGCCGGCTCCCCCATCCTCCCCTCAGCACCGCACCTCTCGCCTCAGCCTCTGGCAACCCCTGGGTCTCTCCGAGGGCGATCTCGCCTGTCGAACGCACCGGTCTTACCTACGCCGCCATGGTGGCAACGAAGCGCTCCTCGACTACGCCTCCGCCTAAGTCGACCTCCGAGCCCAAGACCGAAGCCGCCTCCGACCCCCAAACCGAGGCGGCGCCCGCCAAAGCCCTCGCCGAACACGCCGAAGTCCCTACCGTCAACGGAGAGCCCGCGAAGGCCGAGCAGGACACCGGTCTAGGGGATAGAGATGCGACGGTGACCGTTAAAAGTAAGCCGCATCAGTCCTCCAGGATTCATCCCCTGACCTCTACTCAAAGTAGAAGAGGAAGAGGTGAACCTCACCAGCGGACGCACCCGTTCAGAGAAGAAGGCCGCGGCATCCAAGATAAAGAATAAAAAGCAGCGCGCGAAAAAGAGTGCTAAAGCGGCCGGCAAGATGCCGATGAATGTTGGCGTAGGTCTGCCTACTCCTGCTGACGCTCCGACCCCTCGCAGCCCCATCCAGCAGGTCGATCAGCGACGTAAGGAAGAGACGTAGGGTGTCGACTGATGTGGACGGAGAATGCCCCGTCGATGGCGCTGTCCTGCGCGTGCAAGACGCCCCTCCAACGCTGCCACGCACACCCACCTCGGAGCAACCTGAGGTCATCTCGCTGCTCTCGTCCCCTAGCAGCACTGGCGACCCTCCTGCCGTCACGACGTCGGACATGGAGGCCGACGACTTCGTCATGCGGGAACCTGACGAGTACGAACTCTCGACGGACACCATCCGTATGTTCTACGGCCTAAGTCCACAATTCACTGCTGACGAATACCGACCACGCCCCGTCGTCGTAATCCCTGCGCACCTGATAACAGACAACCCCCGAACGCACCCGCCTTATGCGTGGAACGCCCCCGGCGGTTCGTCCCGCGTTCGCGAGTACCTCGCCGAGCAACACATACGCGAAGACAGCCCATACGTGCTGGCGGTGGCGGAGCAGGTCGAAGGCAACATCGAAGACCTATACGCCTCAGCATCACCTCCCCGCGCCTCTGAACGGAGGCCCCTACCCTCGACGTCATCGAGCCTGCCCATGCACAAGCTGCAGGACCATCTTCACGTTCCGTACGAGAGTTAGGCATCCGAATGGGAGATCCTCAGACTCCTTCCATGTACGTCGCAATGCTACAAGGCGCCTTCCGTAGCTCACCTCGCATCACTGGCGATGACAGGAGCAGCGCAGAACGTCTCTCTTTCAGGCGTCCCGCCTCACCGAACGTCAGCACCAACCGTTCAATGCCCCAGCGGTCGCCACCCAGCTTGCTTCATCCGCACCCTGTCCACTACGCCCCCGGGCCATTCCCCATCTTTCGTGACGATCCAATCGCTCCCCCGCGGCCATCTGGACCGATCGCCCCCATCGCTCGCCCTCACGTCGCTGGCCCAATCGCTCCCCTCGCTCCCTCGCATAGTACCGCTCTGCAGGCGATGACCCGTACTCCTCCCGAGGGCTGGCTCGCAATACAGTACGACGATCCCTACGCTCCGTACGGCAACGTCCAGGCAGAACAACTCGGTCTCTGGACCACGGCCAAGGACCCGTGCGTGCTAATCCACTTCCCCGGGCTCTAGCGCGTGCGACAAGGGGAACTACGGCCGCCTATGTGCGGCAGCCGAGATCCTGAAGAACGAGTACGACGCCCCTGACGCAACCATCACCCAGCCGATTGCGGCGAACCCTCAACCACGTCCTAACGCTGAACCACACTACTACCGCGTCGGCAATCTCACTATCGCTCAGCGCGATCGGATCCTGCGCAAACAATGGAGCTCCACGACGTACGGAACCTTCGGCGCCGTCCCGGCTCCGCACGATCCCCCTACGCTCGTCGCCAGCTTCCGCCACCCGGAGCGTCTGGGCGTAGTCACGGAGGACGGTATGGCGGCTGAATTCCGCAAAGGGTTCGAATCCGAGGAACTGTCCAGACGTACCGTCGTCTTCATCGAGTCGGACATCCGCGCAGACGGACGCTGGCGCCATCTGACGGTCGCTGAAGCCCACCGGCTCATCCTCGAGTCAATCCGCGTCCGCAAGATCACCATTCGCGACGGACGCGAAGAAGAACTCATCGCGCTCCTCTACATCGAATCACCAACCGCAGACGCCGCCGAGTGGATCAACTTTCGTGACTGCGTCCGCTCGCATGTCTTCGGGGGTCCATACGCTGGCCCTCCTGAGGTGCTTAAGTCGTCCTTCTTTTGTATGTACTGCCATACGGTTGATCACCCAACCGCTGCATGCACGCTACCGGCTACCCCCGGCTGGCACGGCCCTTCTCTGGACGAAGTCCGCGCAGCTCTAGCCGACAACCGTCGAGGACAGGAAAACGGGCAGCGAGGACGCGGAGGCAGAGGTGGACGCGGAGGACGAGGAAATCGAGCTCGCGGCAACGGTAGTCGCGGGCGTCGCAACGGTGCTGGCCCCAGCCAGCATGCCTAGTTAGCTTTCCTCGTCGCATATCATCATCGCCTCGTAATCTCATGTACAATCTTATACTGAATGAATCGCTTTCGTTGCGTACGACACATGATCTCGATCGGGCCGCGAATCGACTTCTCGCACCTCAACTAACTTTCTCCATCCCTATGCGCAGACGCTCCGAGTGCCCACACTTACTGACTGCTTCATGCAGGACAGGAAAGCCTCGGACACCTGACGCATTTTTCCAACAGCAAACGGGCACTATATAGACTTGTCCGGGTTGAGAAACCAAGCAACTCAACTGAGTTGCATGTCTCCTGAAGGAACCAGGAGTGTTCCTCACCCCTGGTGGATCGTTGTAGCCAGGACGTGTGAAGCAACGGCGAATACAAACGAAACAAACCCCCCCACGGATGTACACTTGGCACCCGGCGTTCATCTCCTCCAACCGAGAGAGACCAGCGCGTCCCCCGTCCACGCCGATCTCGAGGATCGGATGGAGGAACTCGGTGACGGGGCTGCTCCTGACACACCCCTCGACCTGCCTAGCCGAGATACGGGATCAGGAGATCGAACTCAGAGAGCGAAGCCCTCAACCCAGGCGAATGGTTCCGCCCGGAAACCGGGGCGCAGAACCAAAGCGAACATACATGTATGCTCCTTAAACATGAACGGTAGAAGCGGGGCTATAAACCCGCGTAATCAAAAATGGAACGAAGTGAATCAAATCCTCCGAGAAGAGAAGATCGGGATACTCTGCCTGCAGGAAACACACCTGACTAAAGACGATGAAGACACGATCAACAGACTGTATGGTCGACGAATCACCCTGAGAAACTCAAGCTCCGAGTCAGCGTCATCCACACAAGGCGTATCAATCATTCTCAATCGAGAAATCGTTGACGTAGATGGAATACAATGGTCCGAAATCGTTCCCGGACGAGCAATGATCCTTCGAATGCACTGGCACGCAGATAAGTTCCTCACTATCATGAATGTATACGCTCCAAATCCACCACACGAAAACGCGGCCTTCTGGCGCCTCCTCCTGGAACTAGCAGAGAAAGGTCGGTACCAAAAACCGGATATCCTAGTCGGAGACTTCAACATAGTCGAAGAAGCAATCGATAGACAACCGGCTAAAGAAGACTCACCACAAGCCGTCCAGAACTTGCGAGACCTACTCCGCTTCGTGAACGTATTCGATGGGTGGCGCATGTCCGAACCATCAATGAAAAACTTCTCCTTCCACAACGCGGTAGCCTATCAAGGTCACGAATAGACCGCATCTACGCGACAAGCGAAATAATCAACACATCGCACGACTGGTCAATTCGAACGACCGGAGTGGGCACTGACCATAGGATGGTGAGCACGACTCTAAGCGCGAAAAGCTCTCCCTTCATTGGAAGAGGACGATGGACCCTTCCCCCTTACATCATGGAACAGACTGAGTTCCGGAACGAGGTGACAGCCCTCGGCAAACAGTCACTAATAGAAATGAGAACCCTGGCGCAGTCAGACACCAGAAACCCGGACTACACACCGCAGCACATCCACAACTCCTTTAAAACAAATCTCATCGACATAGCCAGAAACAGACTACGGGAAATGATCCCAAAGTTGAACATAAACATAGAACGGCTCACAGATCATCTGGATCAAATAGGACACGCAGACGGACCACACGTCTCTGGGTCCCTGCAAAATGACGCGGCAATCCTCCAGAACAGAATTCTGGAGTTGGAGAGAAAGAAGAGATCCTTCTCCAAGCTCACCACGACGGCCCGATACGTTATAAACTCGGAACGTGTAACAAAATACTGGTCAGCGATCAACCGTGACCGGAAACCGAGAGACATAATATACTCACTGCGCATCCCCACCTCGTTCCCTCCAACGTTCGAAACACGCTCTGATAAAATGGCTGAGCTGGCCAAAGAATATCATGACAGCGTTCAACAACTGAACCCACCAGGATATACTGAGACGGCCCAAGTGGATGCCACCACATCCGTCCTTAGTTCGGCACAATCAAGTCTTGATCACGAAGATCGAGAACTTCTTTCTGCCAACGTTGATAAATCCGAAATAAAGGACGCCCTCAAACACTCACAGATGGGCCGCGCCGCAGGACTGGATGGAATACCGTACGAGTTCTGGAAAGCATTCATGTCAGGAGACTCAGAAGCCGGGGAATTCAATAGTCTGGAATACCTTGAATATCTCTTCCAAGACGTCGAATCATACGGATTGATACCAAACAGCAGCTTCGCTGAGGGATGGCTATGCCCACTCTACAAGAAAGGCGACCGAAGAGAGATCAGTAACTAAGGCCGATAACATTACTAAACACAGACTATAAAATATATACAAGGATACTCACCTCGCGTCTCGGCCAAGTAGCCCAAAAAGTCATACACATGGACCAAGCTGGCTTCGTACCCGGGCGCCATATAGAAGACCAAACGCAAACGTGTCGAGTTCTGATAGATTACGCAGAAGCCACTGAAGAGAATGGGGTCATAGTCGCCCTAGATCAAAAAAAGCTTACGATAAGATCGACCACACCTACCTATGGAAGACCCTAGAAGCCTTCAACATACCGAGACGTTTTATAAACAAAGTAAAAGCCCTGTACTCGAACGCACGCACCAAAGTGATAATAAACGGAGAATCAAGTTCTTTCTTCAGAGTCACTAGGGGAGTTCGACAGGGAGACCCTCTCTCCTGTCTACTATTCGACATCGCAATTGAACCGCTAGCCAACGCCCTCAGACGCTCATCAATCAGAGGATTCACAATCCCGGGCGCCGCAGACAGACTTGTAACGAAGCTCTTCGCCGACGACACGTCAGCCTTCCTATCTGAGAACGATGACTGGACGGACCTGTGGAACATACTGTCAAAATGGTGCATGGCTTCACGTGCAAAATTTAACGACGGAAAGACGGAAGTCGTACCAGTCGGCTCAGAAACGTACCGACTCGCAGTCCTACAATCCCGCAAGCTTGACCCTAACAAACATGACTCATCCACAATCCCCTCGCATATTAGAATAGCTAAAGAGGGAGAACCCGTCCGAATTCTAGGCGCCTGGGTAGGAAATGGAGTCAACCAAGTCAGCGTCTGGGCGCCTGCCCTACAAAAAATCCGTACATTTCTAGACAGATGGGGACGATGTCGACCTTCCATGATAGGGAAAAGGCACATCGTTCAAATGGGACCGGGAGGAATATCCCAATACCTGACGGTGGTCCAGGGTATGCCGAAATCAATAGAAATAGAGCTAACTAAGATAATCAGAACCTTCATGTGGGGAAACGACAGTATCCCACCAATCAACCTCAACACACTGCACCTACCGATTAAACTAGGCGGCCTTGGCCTGCTTGATATAAAGGCGAGGAACGAAGCCATCAACCTGATGTGGGTCAAAAGGTACCTCAACCTCGAAAACGATCGACCGACCTGGGCATTCGCAATGGATGCCGTAATAAATTTACATGTAACCAAAGACGCCGGGGCTATTCAACCGAAAGCCCAGCTGAACTCCTTCCTACAGAGTTGGAACGCTTCGCAAAGCGCAAATTCTGGCCTACCATCATACGTCAGGGAAATGTTATCTACAAGCAAGAAATATGGCGTTCACCTGGAAGCCCTCAAGATTGATGACTCTCTCAAACAGCTACTGCCGACGTGGTATCACATCGGAGCCACGAAAGCGCTACGCAGGCTCAACAATTCGTCGGTCAGCAAATGCCTGAGAGATAATCATGATGTCTGCCTCATATCCGACCTACTACGCTCCACGCAATCAACCTGCGGTACCGACCCCCGGTCCACCCTGCTTTAGCCGGCTGGGGATGCGACACATGTCCATGCCCGGAATGCGAGACCATCCGAACTAAAGGGTGCAAACACCCAGAAAAGTGCCGCTTAGCCGCATT